AATCGAATTCAATATCAGTATATGCACTTTTAAATAATTTAAATATTAATCTGATGGCATTTTCTCTTCCGACTCAATTATGTTTACAAAAACCCATGAATTTTTTACAATAGGAAAGTATATTTTTTTAGTTGGTTAACTTATCGAACCTACACTACTGTTATCTCAAAAATAAATTTTAAAATATTAGAAAATTTTTAAAATTTTTATACTTTTAATTATATGAACAATTTTAAATTTAACTATCGTTATGTATGATAATATAGTTATCATACAATTATGTATGAAATTAAATTTACGTAAATAAAAATTTAATCATACAATTTCCATTTAAGTACTATTATTTTACTCATAAAGGATAGAGTTACTATTAGGTTACATTATCTTAAAAGCGATATTTTTAACATGTATTTTGCATATTAAATTATACAATTTTCCTATTAGCATTTCAAATGATTTTAATTTTTCTACCAGTTTTCCTTCATGTATAATATATATATACGAGTTGGTATATCACAAATGTGCTTACATTGTATTTGAAAATGAAAGCGAAAGTAAAATTGTTTTACATAAGTGCAATGCAACATGTCTATCTGATACAACTTTTTGTATATCATTATGTTTACTTAAGTAAATGTTTGAATGTGAGTATTGTTATAAGATGAATTCGGCTTTTCCACTAAATATATGTATAAGATTAAGATAACCGTATCATTTGGTTTTATTTTTATTAAATGCATTTTGTTGCTAAAAACTTATTATCTATCTGATCTACTTTCTCTATTCAATGTCACGATCATTTTATATTTCTTTAATATTTCCAACTAGTTTTTAGCAATGCTTTAATATATACATTTTAATTTGAATGGCTCGTTTGGATAATTTTCTTCATTTTTCATTTCACCCACAATACAATTGAAATTTTTATTTTTTTTTTAGGAAATTTCATATGTAAGGAATGAGCTGTTGATACTATTGCATTTTTTCCTTATTTTTTCTATAATAATTAAAGGAGGGTTTGTATATAATAATGAAATTTGCCTATAAAAGAATTTGGAATTCATAGCAGTTTTTCAGTTTATCATAAAGTATTAATTTGGCAATATATTCCAGTAAAATAAAGCAAAAAAACAAAGGGTTGAATTTAAAACAAAAAGGAGCAGCTTTTTTGAAATATAATTATTAAAAAATAAATAATGTATATCACTAATTTATTTTTCATAATAATTGTAATTTTACAAATTGGAATATTCAGTATTCATTCGTCAGCATCATCTGTAAATGACGAACGTATAACTAATCACGAATATATTAATTTGAAAACTGATGATCATCGAACCGAAATTGATTACGTTATTAAGCCACCAACGGGAAGAAAAAAAGCTGTTAATACCCCAAATAAGGATTGGTGTAAATTATATTGCATAACAAAAGGAAAATTAAATGGTGGCTATGTGATTGGAATAAAATGTTTTTGTTTAAAATAAAATGTTAAAATATAAATGTCAGAATACAAGCAACTATAGAAATGAGTTAAGAAAGATTTCGGATACCAATATCATGGTCAAATTTAAGAAAAATTTACTAATCGATGACAAAAATATAAGAGTCGATAAAACGAAATATCTATTAATGCAAGATCTAAATCTTGAATACAATTTATGAAAAAGCAGTGTGCTTAATAATTAATATCTAAATATGCATTTAGAAAATAATTTATGTATTTATAAAATTTTTATATCACATACTATTAAAATTTATATTAATATTGTTATATTGTTTTCAGTGCTATAGTTTGTAAAATAAATTTCTTAATTAACAATTAATTGATTGTTTAGAAACAAGTAAAAATTCTTAAAATTGAAAGATTAACATTAACCATATACATGTAATTATATTATCTGTTATATTGTGAATTTTATATTAATAAATTAAATAATAATTATTGTTTATACTTTATATTTTACAGGTAAAATTTAAAATTTAATAATTTTCTTTTGTAATTTTTAATTTTTACCAATAATTTAAATAAGTTCCAGCTTTTTTTATGCTCTATTTTAATTTTGTATAACTCGCAAGTGTAACCCAAGCAAGTATAACAAGTGTCTGTTATATGATGTGACTGCAGTTCATACAAAAATATTACATTTTACATAATATTATGTTGATATTTTCCTATCAGGCAAAAGTTGTAATAATAAATTACATATACATATAATCCATTTAATATTCGGTGCGCCATCTGTTATCTAAAAGATTTAATTAATAAAAAGAAATATGAAATTTAATGTAAACAGAAAACAGAATAAATGTATTTGAAGTTAAACATATTTTTGTTTATTATGTATGTGCAAATGTATATTATATGTATTTTGTATGTATAATGTATGTACATCTGCAAAGAATTTATAATGTATGTTTCGAACTATTTGATTATCTATCTGTTGTTGATAGCAATTTTGGCTGACTTTTGATTCAGTTACAGCATTTATTAAAATATAATAATAGGTGCACATAATAAAGGCAACAGCAGATCGTAAGCCCTTAAAATAAGTAATGTTTTTATTGAGGAAGTAATGACTAGCATATAAACTTTTTAAGTTTACAACAGAAACTGTCTAAGTATTAATATAATTTACAGCATTTTGACTATTTTACAACTTATATTGAGTATGTTGAGCATAAAAATATGAATATGTTGGCTATTCTTATAAATAAAATAAATGAATTGTCGTTTTAACAATTTTTACATTGAAAATTATTATGAAATAATATTTTCAATAAAACCAATTAAAAATTTTGATAGTTTATTGATGATTTGTGTGCAATCTTTAATGTAATAAGTGTATACATATATCGTTTTGATTTTATACGAATATGAAAATATTCTAATAATTAATTTCTAATTATTTCACGTTCTATCAACTTGTTAACTCCACAATAATCGTCGAGAATGTTAAAGGATACGATACAATTTGATAGAAAACTAAAAATCATATTTAAACATTTAAAGTTAAAAAGAGCAAAATAATATCATCATCTTAAGATATAGGGTTTAATTTTGAATATATACAAAATATTATACAAAATATTCAGCAATTGTTCATCTAAACGTACTTTTTACTTCAGTCAAAATAGCAAGTTTTCATAATTTTGACAATTCTCTTTCACCTGGAATTTCCGACTGTATATGTATAAGCAAACATATGTACATATTACTGAAACTATATTATACACATGACTTTCAAAAGATGATGTGTAATACAAAGAGTCAACGAACAATATTTTCAACAATATAGAGAATAAATAATAAAAAATAAAAAATAAAATAAAAAAATTTAAAACACATGAAATCCGTCACATATTTTTTTTTTAAACCCATCCATTTTGGATTTTAATACTTTATTCCTTCCACTCACAATGAATTTGCATGTTATATGTAGGTACAGCTATAAATAGTTAAAATATTGAAAACTTTTTAGGGAACTATTATACACATAGTGACATACATATACAATGAATGTTTTTTTTTTTGTTTTTGAATATTTTCTTTTTTTACTTTTTGTATATTTTTCAAGGAGAATTCAAAAATGCAAACAAATGTGAATTCCCATCTAGAATTATTTAGCACATGCGCAATATTTCGCCTACGTAAAATTGATATAGAAGTAAGAACAAAAACAAAAAATAAAATAAGAAAAAAAAAAAAACATTTTTAAGCTTTTTGTTTTTTGTTTCCATAATTTTTGAAATTCCTGTTTTTATTCTTTTTACATTTTAAATTTCAGCTCCTTTTTCCAAATTCTATATTTTTCTCTACTTCTTTCTTTTTCTCTTTATTCTTCTCATCTAAAAATCCTTTCAAAAGCTTTCATAAAAATATTATAAAGTTTTCATTATAACAAAAGTGTGTGCTTTTTTCTTCTCTCATCAATTGTATATGTGTATGAGTGAGAAAATTTAATTTTTCCACACATATTTTCTACAATATTCATATATATACATATATATATATATATATTCAGGCTGAGTTCTATCTATACAATAACAACAACAATTTTAATAATAATAATAAAAGAAGGATAGAAAAAAAAAAAATTTTTTTTTTTTGCCACATCGATTTTCACAGTCGAAAATTGTCGAGTTGCGTGCGTGACATTCGAGAGCGTAATAAAAAAAAAAATATTATATTTAAAAATAAAAATCATAAGAAATATAAAAATAATAATATTTTTATTTAGAAAAAAAAATTATTTAAATAATTCTATATTGTTAAAAGTATTTTTAATTAAAAATTCAATTAATATTTTATTTGAAGAATTCAAAAAAAAAAAAAAAGAAACACACAAAAGTAAATTTTTTTTTTCTTCAATACAAAAAAAAAAAATATTTAGCAGCCAATAAATTTTTTCAATAAGAATTTCGCTTTTTTTTTTGTCTTTATGTATTTATTCTTCTCTGCTATTTGATTTTTATAGTATCTCTGATCCTGAGGGTAAAATCAAATATATTTTGTAACCAGTATTATTTAGGTTAACAGTGTATTCTGAAGTTTCAATAATCTGTCAGAGAGGAAAAAAAAAACTTCAAATAATTTGCGATTATAAGAGAAGGAGCAAAAAAATAGAAGTAAAAATAAGAACAAAATATAAGGAGTAAAATATAAAGTCCTGATTTAAGAAAATCATTCATATACAAAAAAAAAATATTCTTAAATTTTAATACATTGTATATTTTATTTAGAAAATTATTTAAAAAATTTAATATTTTCTTTTTTGCAAAAAAATAATTATGATAAAGTGTTTATTGAACCTTCAATACTAAATCATATTCGTACAAAAAATATAAAAGTTTTTCAATTAATTGTAATATAAAAAATTATAATAAATATTTCAAGTATAAAAGTGAAAACGTGAAAAATATTTTATACACATACCTATATATATTTTTGGTTTTTCTTATTTACATATATGTATATGAGTACATAAAAGAGAGAATATCATATATTAATATTATATAAGTAAATAAAATTAAAAATTTATATAAAAATATAGAAAATTAACATAGAAAATTAAACTAGCAAAAAAAAAAATAAATAAACACAAAAAAAAATCAAAAGATAAAAAAAAAATTAACCATTAACTAGCTCAATTTTAACTTGGATTAACAAGGATATTACAAGGAGATCTAAATATATAAATAGCCCAGGATATATTCCCCGTATATATATCAACAAAATCACACAAACAAATTATACGTGTTTATCTAGAAAAAAAGAGAAAACAAAAACAACAATGTAAGTCCTTCATTACAAATATTAAAAAAAAAAAAATAAAAATTATTTATTTTATTTTTCAAATAAATTATTACCAAAAAAAAAGGTACATATAAAAAATGAAAACAAAATGATAAAATTAATAAAATCAAAACACATGAAATTATTTTTAATCTTATTTTTTCTGCTTTTCGATTTTAAATTAAAATTAAAAATTGGAAAAAACAAAAAAACATAAATTTTTTTCAAGAAAAAAATTCTCTGCCACGCTTTTTATATATTATATTCTTCATATACAAAAATACAAAAATATCACAATGTATTTTCATAAGAACAAATAATAATAATAATAAAAACAATAATCATAAGGAGACATTAAGGTATATAAGGTCTAACCTAACCTACTATTTTTTCATTCTACATAAACAAACATGCAGTGTTATACAAATATATATTATAAATCCAAGAACAAGTATATATGTACATGCATATATATATATTGAGTATAGTATACCTATACATATTATTTTCATATTATTTTAATATGTATAGATATTCTTATTAAATATTTCCAAATACTTTTGAATACAGTATAGTCAGAATTATATGAACATATTATGCGCATTTCAGTATACTAATAAATATTATAAAAAAAATTTTTAAATTTAGTAAATGATTTTTTTTTTTTAGTCTTCCTTATTTTTTAAAAAATTATCACTTATTTCAAAAAAAAATATTAAATTTATTCAAAAATTGACTTATAGTATTATTCAAACTAAAAAATTCAGTGAATAAATTTTGTATAAAATTTTAATATTTTAATATTAAAATATTTTGATCTAATTAATATGGCACTTTAGACGAATGTAGACTAACGATATAATTCTACATTTAAACTGTCTTTCACTGCCAAATTTAAAAAAAATGTGAGAGGGAAGCAGCATATTCGTTCAATATAATTTATTCAAGTAAGAGAAATATATTCTTATTATGTATTTTGCTTTCACAAGAAAAACATGAAAAATGAAAACCTCCATTGAGTCATCATCTTAATACTTTCTTTTGGAGAGTGACAAATTTAATTGGTATTTTAAAATGAGTAAGGCATAGTGGGAAAAAATGAAACATTTTATATTATAAAAATAGCCATATTAAAAAAATTAAGATAAATATAGAAAATTTGGGGCTACATAATATTATTGAACTTGATTCATAATTGACTATATTCGTTAAATCGATTTAATAGTCGATAATAGCTATATTATTTTCTATATAAATGATTTTTATTATAAATAAAACAAAAAATATAAATTCCATTTAAATATGAGTCTACTGTTTCTATTTTCTCCTTCCAATTTCACATTTAATCTGTGAGTTTACTGTAATTACTTATTATTTTAATATTTTATTAATATTTTTATATTTTTGTTAAAATTTGTTTTCCAAATAAAAATCATACCTATACCATATATCTACATTTTTACAAATTATTATTAAAAAATATATATAATTATATGTAGGTATACATGTAATATAATCATTAAATTTGATACAATGCCACAGAATAAAAAAAATTAACAAAAAAAGGAATGTCAAATAATCTGTGTGTCTTTCTTTACATATATATATATATATGCAATATGTATATATATACAAAAAACAATATCAAAAGATATTTTTTAGATAGAAAAGAAAATTTTATAAAAATGTGGAAATAATGTTATGTTCATCATGCTGCTGCTGTACTTGTGCTGCTATACTTGTGCTGCTATGCGCCTATACCAATTTTCATTTGAATTTATTTAACATGATATAAAATATAATATAAGTACATATTGCTCAGTATATATATATATATATATTAATACATATTTTACATACTTAATATTAAATAAGTAAGTAACAAACTCACATACATAAATATACATAAATGTACGTAATTACATACACATATAGTCTAATGTACATGTAATGTTATATTTGTAGAGCTTACAACAATTTGTATTTTTTACACATGTGTGTGTATATATGTATGTATATGTATGTATGAATAACCAGATGTTATTTTAAAATAATTTTTGATTCATTAGAATAAAACAAAAAAAAAAAAACATAAAATGGAAAAAAGGGGATTAGGTAGAAATAAAAGAAAATATTTTTTTCTCAATAAATAAAATAATTTTTTTTTTTAATAATTTCATAAATTTATTCCAATAGTTTTCTTTTTTCTGCTCTTTTTATTTTGTATATATATGGCAAACTTACTAAAATTGTTATTGTAAATAGAAATTTTAAAATATTTTATATTAAGGCATAATAGTAAATCAATAGAATTTAAATTGATCCTTGACAAGGTAATTAGATCTAAACACATTTAATTTTAATAGACAAATAATGATATATCGAAAATTTCTGAAAAAAAAAACTTATTCTTAGAAAGACATTAATTATTAAAAAAATAAAAAAAAAATTTAATAAAACTAAAATCCTACGAACATAGTTATGTTCACAATGCAAAATTTAATATATGAATACTCCTCATCCATACTGATAACACTAACTCTGTGAACTACCGAAATTGCTCTAAATCACAAATATTTTTAGTTCACTAATTTTAAACGCTGCACCTTCGTGAAGAGTATATTAACTTTTGGTATGGAGTTTGTAACCATTTGAAGGAATCATCTCCGGTATATACATGTATATATATCTTTGCTCAGCGTAAAATTTTGCGTTGATTTCGACATGTCCGTCCGTCCGATTGGACGACAACTCAAAAACGAATAATGCAATCGACACTAAACTTTCACAAACGTGTTGTTTTTTGTGCCAAGAACGAAAATGTAATTGGGCCAATTCAGATAACGCGTTCTGATAGCTGCCATACACCTCAAAGAGTTTATTTTAAATATTTTAAAAACTAATAAAGGGCTAAATATGAAATTTTGTATACGTGTGTTCAATTACAATCTACATATGCTCTAAAACTTTTAATAGAATGTCTACACCGGTTGGGATGGCTGCCATACAATTCCAAAAGTAAAGTTTTTATGTTCGGAAAAATAGCAAAATGTGAGATTCATGAATTTTGGCAATCGTATGTCCAATTATAGGTCAGTTCTCCGTGAGTGGTTTCATAGGTTTGACTAATTGCTATATACAACAGTTTATACCGAATGCAACGTTTCTACTTGTTATACTTAAGTTAATAATAGAATAATAGAAATCTATTTAATTAATTTGTTCGACTATCGCTTGATTTTGTTATACATATAAGAATAATTTCACTTTTTACTCAATAAATTTTTTATTTAAAATTTTAAATACAATTTTCTTAAATTATGGTTTCATTTCCGTTGATAAATTAATGGAAAAATTTTTATTTTATATAAAATAAATATTTTATCTGCTATACAAGAGAGGGAATGCAATTAAAATAAAAAAAATTGTTTTTTCTTTCAAAAGCAATTAGATAAAATAAATGGAATCCTTTTAAATATAGAAAATAAAACATATAAGAAATGAAAAACAATTTCGAATTGTTCAAAAGCAATTTAATCACAACAAAATATTTAGCCAGACATCATTTTCCTCCTACTGCAAATTTAAAAGTAAAATAAAATAAAAAATATATATTTCCTACTGACATACAAGTTTTTTATGATATTCAAAGATGTATACGTATACATATATACAAAAATGACTTTACATCAAAAAAAAAAAGTTCATGTTACTCCTTAGAACATTTCAAAGCTATCTGAGTTGAATTCAATTTCATATAGCTACTTTAATAATAGTCATCTATTCAAGTTTTTAATTTTTAAAAATTAAAACAATATATTTTTAGCTTTATACAATTATATTTGTAAATAAAATGTAAAAATAAAAGGATAATTTAAGAATTTTTAAACAATACAAAACTTTTGTAAAAAAGAAATTCATTTATATGACATCCAAGTATGTCAGCCATAATAATTATTAAATATTATTTTAAAATGTAGAATATTCTAACATGAAATGATGTCATTTTGTATAAAAAAAATTCTTTATTATACTTGTATTCCAAAATTATGTATTGTACTGTACTATTATACTAAATGAAGATGTAGTGTTATACACTCAATCCATCTTCACGTGACATTCGTTTGAAAAAAATTTTATAAAAGAAAAACTGTTTGCTTCTAATTTTGAAATTAATTTTGAAATTATTGATTACTTTTTCACTTTGAATTACAGACAACTTTCCCAGAATATGTTATTAAACCGTAATTCAAGGCATGACTGTATTTAATTATAAATATTTAATATTATTATGTACGAGTACATAATTATTGTATATAAAAAGATGCAATCATTTCTCTTTAGCATTCTATTTTTATTGTCATTTACTTCTCACATTGCCAATTTTTCTCATTACAATTAAATTTATATTTAAATTTAAATTTTACTGTTCTACATTATAAAAGGATTTATATAACAAATTATAATAAATTTAAAATGACTTTTCTATATTTATATATACTCTTTTATTGCTCTTTTGCATAAGTAACGTTCGATTCAAGATAAACCATTCAATTTTCTTTAGATCTGTGTTGATCTATTCTCGACATTTTTATAATATTTAATTATTATAAAATCTGAAAATAAATCTTTAATATTTTTCAAAACGATTTTTTAATTGAGTATTTTATATAAATACAAACTTTTTAGCACTTTTTAAAAAATAATTGGAAAAAAAGTCCTCATTAATATCACTGTGTCCGTCAGTCCATTTGTAGCTCGCCCCCTTAAAGTCCTAAAAATGATATATTTTTACTCGTTACTGTATCAAAAGCCGAAACATTTTTTAAATTTTGCAAATTTTGCAGAAAAGTAGCAAGTCACTTCTTCTATACTTGCGATACAGCATAGTGAAATATTAAAATGACAAAATGGCCACTGAAATAAGCTTTTATCATGAAACATGTTTTTTTTTGATAATTTTTGATATCGTTTTCCTTCTAGACGATAAGTTATAAGGG